TTCTTTTGGTATTTAATAATATGGTTATTATTCACTTAAAATTTATTATTTCTATTTATTTTTATTAATATATTATATAAGGCTCCGAATGAATCAATGAAATTCGAACTGATTCGAATCGAATTGAATCACTTAATTTTTGATTCGAATCAGTTCAAATCGAATTCAAATTGAATCAAATTGTACTTTGATTTGACCAAGCCAGACAACAACACTCACATTTTGTCACCTTGGGCTCTGTCAAAAAATAAATTGTTTTTCCAAAAAAAAAAAAAATCAATTCACGTCTGTCCTACCAAAAAAAAAAACCAATAGGATAAATAATTAGTGTATGCGTCAATTGTATCACAAAACTTCTCTTTAATTTTTTTTTCAAAATGTCTTTTGAAAAAAATTCTAACAAAAGAAACAAACAAGATGAGTATGGTGTGAAGAAGGGGTGAGTGTTTTAAGGATGGTGGTGGTGGTTATCGCCCACCACCTGTTGTCGTCACTCTAGTTATTTAAAATAATTATGCCAAAACAAAATCGGCAAAAAAAAGCAAGCAAAGAAAATCAAGAAAAATTTGAAAGAGGGTAAGTGTTTTAAGGATGGTGGTGGTGGTTATTGCCACTTGTCGTCACTCTAGTTAAAAATAATAATGGTGGTGGTAATTACTGATCCGCAATTAACTTTGTACTTTTTTTCACAAACGTTAAAGGCAGGAGTATGAGAACATATTTTATTCTATCAAAGAATCTATTAGGGATGAATTTGGATTCGAGGTAAACAATATCGATAGAACACTTCAAAACAATCAAGGAATCAGAAAGGATGGAATAAAATTTATAAAGAATTTTGTAAAAGAAATTAAAAGCAATCTAGTAGTAAGTTTTTTAAAAAAATTTTGTTTATCAATTGCTTGTTACATGTTTCTAAAAATTTAACCTTTATTATTATATTATAACATTCCTATTGTAGGATGATGATAATGATGATAATAGAATAAGTGATGATGGCAATAGAATAAATGATGGTGATAGAATAAATGATGATGACAATAATGACAATTATTTAAATCATTTGAGTAGCCCACCATCAATACATATGAATACTAATGATGATAATAGAATAAGTGATGATGGTGATAGAATAAATGATGATGACAATAATGACAATTATTTAAATCATTTGAGTAGCCCACCATCAATACATATGAATACTAGATGTAAATATTTTATTTTCTAAATACTTATGTTGATGATAAAAAATCAAATTTGTGTGTAAAAATTTTTTTAGAAAAATAATTATTTATATTTTAATAATGATAAAAAAAGCCAAAGACCTTATGACACAAAAGCCACAAAGACACAAACCTGATGACAAAGCATTAAGCGAAATCAGAAAATACCAAAAAACCACAAAACTCCTTCTCCACAAATTACCATTTTCAAGAATAGTAAGTATTTAGAATAAATAATAAATTTTAACCTTTTTTTATTGTTATATTGATTATCACTGTATATATCTAATTCCTAAAAAATATATATCTATAGGTACGAGAGGTTGCCATGGAAAATTTCCCATTAGATCATATCCACCGATTTCTGCAACATTTTAGGGCACATTTATAAAAATTTCTAAGGGGTTACTAGAATTAGAAGCTAAT